TGAGGAGCTTTGGGGAAGGGTTTGAGGGTTTGGGGGGCACTGGGGGCTGGGGAGAGGTTTTGGGGGGACTGGGGGAGCATTGGGAGGTCCGGCAGTGGCTGAGTGGGGCAGCGTCCCTGGGGACGGGAGGTCCCCAGGGAGTCTGGGGGTCCCTGGGGGGAAGCCCTGGAGGTGGGGAGTCCCCAGAAGGTCTGGGGGGGTCTCTGAGGGGTCCCTTGCGTGCCCCCCAGGACTTCACACGCTGCGTCATCGGGGCCGTGCTCTTCCTCATCACCTCCCTCATCGTCCTCGTCGGCCACCACGACGGCGCCGGCATCGCGGGAGGGGTGAGGGGGAATTTGGGGGGCTGGCCTGGGGGGCTCTGACCCCCCTCGGGTGTTGGGGCTCCTGACCAGGGGCTGGGGGGTACAGGGGGAGTCTGGGGGTCTCTGACCCCCTGTACCCGCAGGTGTTCGGGATCCTGGCCGGGGTCCTGCTGGGGTACGACGCCTACATCACCTTCCCCCTGCGGCAGAGCCACACCGCCGCCCCCACCGGTGCGTACTGGGAGCACTGGGAGGGGCCGCTGCCCCGTGCGAGGGCACTGGGAGCACTGGGAAGGGGCCGCTGCCCCGTGGGAGGGCACTGGGAGCACTGGGAGCACTGGGAAGGGGCCGCTGCCCCGTGCGAGGGCACTGGGAGCACTGGGAAGGACCTGCAGGGGAGAGCTGGGAGCACTGGGAGTGGGGAGGAACTGGGAGAACTGGGAAAGGGAGGGCAGCCCTGCTGGTGGAACTGGGAGGAACATACAGAGGAGAACTGGGAACACTGGGAGGAGATTGCTGCCCTGTGCAGGGGACTGGGGGGATGCCCAGAGGGTTTGGGGGTCCCTGGGGTGTAACTAATCCCCCACTTTGTGCCCCCTCCAGAGTCCCCCGACGGTGCCTGAACAAGCCAAGAGCCCCAACGGAGACCTCCCCAAACTCCCCCCGCACAGGGGGACCCCCAGCCTTAAATTATTGAGGGGTCCCGACGCCTGGGTCCCCCCGGGGGGGGCAGGGGTAGATCTGGGGCTCCCTCAGGGGTTGCCCCTCCCTCAAACGCCTTTGCAAGTGCCTTGAACCTCCCGTGCCTCAGTTTCCCCATGGGGAGGCCCCCTCAGGTATAAAGGTGCCCTTGCCCCTCATGGGTTTTGGGGTGCCCGCCTCAGTTTCTGGGGTGCCTCCGTTAGTTTTTGGGGTGCTCCCCCTCCCTCCCTCCCACCCACCCCCCACTCCCCCAGCCTGCGGGAGGCTTCTGGGGGCAACATATTGGGAAATAAAGGTTTTTTATTACTGCATTGCCAGTTCCGGTGGGTCTGTCACAACCACAGCCTGTCGGGGGGTGTCTCTAGATCCTGAGGGGAATTGTCCCATAACGGACCCCAAACCCACAGAGCACAACTCCAGCACGGCCAAACCCTCCCATCGCGGTTCTGCCTGGAGAGAAAATCCCCTCCCCTCATGGAAAAAGGAGGGAAAACCCTTCCTCCCTCTCCTCACGGAAAAAGGGGGGAAACTCCTCCAGCCCTCACGGAAAAGGGCGGGAAACTCCCCGTCCCCGCACGGAAAAAGGAGAAGAAACCCCTCCACGCTCACGGAAAGAGAGATGAACGCCCTCCAGCCCTCACGGGAAAGGGCGAGAAACTCCCCATCCATCCCCCAGGGAAAGAATTCCTTCCCTCAGAGAAGAAATCCACGCCACTCCTCATGGAAAAAAGGGAGGAACGCCCTCCACCCCTCACGGAAAAAAAAAGTGAGGAACCCTTTCCACTCCTCTCAGAAAAAGGGAGGAACCCTTTCCACTCCTCATGGAAAAAAGGGAGGAACGCCCTCCACCCCTCACGGAAAAAAAGAGTGAGGAACCCTTTCCACTCCTCACTGAAAAAGGGAGGAACCCTTTCCACCCCTCACGGAAAAAAAAGTGAGGAACGCCCTCCACTCCCCACTGAAAAAGGGCTGGGAGCACTGGGAAGGGGCCGCTGCCCCGTGCGAGGGCACTGGGAGCACTGGGAAGGGGCCGCTGCCCCGTGCGAGGGCACTGGGAGCACTGGGAGGGGCCGCTGCCCCGTGCGAGGGCACTGGGAGCACTGGGAGGGGCCGCTGCCCCGTGCGAGGGCACTGGGAGCACTGGGAGGGGCCGCTGCCCCGTGCGAGGGCACTGGGAGCACTGGGAAGGACCTGCAGGGGAGAGCTGGGAGCACTGGGAGTGGGGAGGAACTGGGAGAACTGGGAAAGGGAGGGCAGCCCTGCTGGTGGAACTGGGAGGAACATACAGAGGAGAACTGGGAACACTGGGAGGAGATTGCTGCCCTGTGCAGGGGACTGGGGGGATGCCCAGAGGGTTTGGGGGTCCCTGGGGTGTAACTAATCCCCCACTTTGTGCCCCCTCCAGAGTCCCCCGACGGTGCCTGAACAAGCCAAGAGCCCCAACGGAGACCTCCCCAAACTCCCCCCGCACAGGGGGACCCCCAGCCTTAAATTATTGAGGGGTCCCGACGCCTGGGTCCCCCCGGGGGGGGCAGGGGTAGATCTGGGGCTCCCTCAGGGGTTGCCCCTCCCTCAAACGCCTTTGCAAGTGCCTTGAACCTCCCGTGCCTCAGTTTCCCCATGGGGAGGCCCCCTCAGGTATAAAGGTGCCCTTGCCCCTCATGGGTTTTGGGGTGCCCGCCTCAGTTTCTGGGGTGCCTCCGTTAGTTTTTGGGGTGCTCCCCCTCCCTCCCTCCCACCCACCCCCCACTCCCCCAGCCTGCGGGAGGCTTCTGGGGGCAACATATTGGGAAATAAAGGTTTTTTATTACTGCATTGCCGGTTCCGGTGGGTCTGTCACAACCACAGCCTGTCGGGGGGTGTCTCTAGATCCTGAGGGGAATTGTCCCATAACGGACCCCAAACCCACAGAGCACAACTCCAGCACGGCCAAACCCTCCCATCACGGTTCTGCCTGGCGAGAGAATCCCCTCCCCTCATGGAAAAAGGAAGGAAAACCCTTCCTCCCTCACCTCACGGAAAAAGGGGGGAAACTCCTCCAGCCCTCACGGAAAAGGGCGGGAAACTCCCCGTCCCCGCACGGAAAAAGGGGAAGAAACCCCTCCACGCTCACGGAAAGAGAGATGAACGCCCTCCAGCCCTCGCGGGAAAGGGCGAGAAACTCCCCATCCATCCCCCAGGGAAAGAATTCCTTCCCTCAGGGAAGAAATCCACGCCACTCCTCATGGAAAAAAGGGAGGAACGCCCTCCACCCCTCACGGAAAAAAAAAGTGAGGAACCCTTTCCACTCCTCACTGAAAAAGGGAGGAACCCTTTTCACTCCTCATGGAAAAAAGGGAGGAACGCCCTCCACCCCTCACGGAAAAAAAGAGTGAGGAACCCTTTCCACTCCTCACTGAAAAAGGGAGGAACCCTTTTCACTCCTCATGGAAAAAAGGGAGGAACGCCCTCCACCCCTCACGGAAAAAAAGAGTGAGGAACCCTTTCCACTCCTCACAGAAAAAAAAGTGAGGAACCCCCTCCACTCCCCACTGAAAAGGGCGGGAAATTCCCCCTCCCCTCACGGAAAAAGGGATGAACTCCCCTCCACGCCTCAGGGAAACAGAGAGGGGAATTCCCCCTCCAGCCCTCACGGAAGAAGGGGAAGAAACCGCTCCACCGCTCACGGAAAGAGTGATGAACCCCCTCCAGCCCTCACGGAAAAGGGCAGCAAACTCCCCATCCAGCCCTCATGGTAAAACGCAGGAACGCCCTCCAGCCCTCACGGAAGAAGGGAGGAATCCCCTCCAGCCCTCAAGGACAAAGGGAGGAACCCCCTCCAGCCCTCACGGTAAAACGGAGGAACGCCTTCCACCCATCACGGTAAAAAGGGGGAACGCCCTGCAGCGCTCCTGGTAAAACGGAGGAACCCCTTCCACTCGTCACAGTAAAACGCAGGAACGCCCTCCAGCCTCAAGGTAAAACGCAGGAACGCCCTCCAGCCCTCACGGTAAAACGGAGGAACGCCCTCCAGCCCTCACGGACAAAGGGAGGAACCCCCTCCAGCCTCACGGTATAACGCAGGAACGCCCTGCAGCCCTCACGGTAAAACTCGGGAACCCCTCGGCCCCTCAGGGCTCCCGCCCAGCGATAAAGGGAGCCCTGATAAAGGGACAGGAACGCCCCCGCTCCCCTCACAGAAAAAGGCGGGAAAGCCCCACACAACTGGCGCCCCGCCCCGCGCATGCGCAGTGCCAAAAGGCGCCTCCATCCCCCGCGCGCCCTCCCCTCACGCTGCCCGCCGCGCGCACGCGCCCCACGCCCGCCTCAGCCGCCGCCGCCGCTCCGCCCTCACCGCTGCCGCCGCGTCCGTTCCTCTTTCCTGCCCCGGATGCTCCCCGGTACTTCAAACTCCCCATCCAGCCCTCATGGTAAAACGCAGGAACGCCCTCCAGCCCTCACGGAAGAAGGGAGGAATCCCCTCCAGCCCTCAAGGACAAAGGGAGGAACCCCCTCCAGCCCTCACGGTAAAACGGAGGAACCCCTTCCACCCATCACGGTAAAAAGGGGGAACGCCCTGCAGCGCTCCTGGTAAAACGGAGGAACCCCTTCCACTCGTCACAGTAAAACGCAGGAACGCCCTCCAGCCTCAAGGTAAAACGCAGGAACGCCCTCCAGCCCTCACGGTAAAACGGAGGAACGCCCTCCAGCCCTCACGGACAAAGGGAGGAACCCCCTCCAGCCTCATGGTAAAACGGAGGAACCCCCTCCAGCCTCACGGTATAACGCAGGAACGCCCTGCAGCCCTCACGGTAAAACTCGGGAACCCCTCGGCCCCTCAGGGCTCCCGCCCAGCGATAAAGGGAGCCCTGATAAAGGGACAGGAACGCCCCCGCTCCCCTCACAGAAAAAGGCGGGAAAGCCCCACACAACTGGCGCCCCGCCCCGCGCATGCGCAGTGCCAAAAGGCGCCTCCCCCCATCCCCCGCGCGCCCTCCCCTCACGCTGCCGCCGCGCGCACGCGCCCCACGCCCGCCTCAGCCGCCGCCGCCGCTCCGCCCTCACCGCTGCCGCCGCGTCCGTTCCTCTTTCCTCCCGCGTCTGCTCCCCGGTCCTTCCCCGGCGCGTCCCGGTACGGCGGCGGGCGGGCGGGCGCTGCGCGTGCGCGGCCGCCGCGCCGGGGGGCGGTGACGCCGGGGCGGCGCATGCGCAGTGGCTCGGTGAGGTTTGTGGTGAATGCAGGATTTAATTTAAAAATAACGCGGACTCGTTTTTGAGGGGTTTAAAGTGAAGTGAGCAGCCCCTGGGCACCCCCCGTAACCCCAGGGTGTGCGAGCCACAGGATCTCCCTGGAACCCCCCGTTTTTGTGTGCCTCCCCACATAAACAGCGCTTTTTTTAGGGTAGCACCTACAAATAAACGACAGAACCGGTAAATAAATAATGGGGCGTACAAACAACGAACTGTGCGGGGATGACAGCGCCGCGGGCGGGGGGTGCTACAGCCCCGGCTGGGGCTGGGGGTGCCCCGTTTGGGGTTCCCCCCGCTAATGGGGTGTGCCGTTAATGGGGTGTCCCCTATTAATGGTGTCACGTTAATGGGGTGTCCCTGTGTTTGGGGGGTCCCCTATTAATGGTGTCCCGTTAATGGTGTCCCTGTGTTTGGGGGGTCCCCTATTAATGGTGTCACGTTAATGGGGTGTCCCTGTGTTTGGGGTGTCCCCTATTAATGGTGCCCCATTAATGGTGTCCTTGTGTTTGGGGGGTCCCCTCTTAATGGTGTCCCGTTAATGGGGTGTCCCTGTGTTTGGGGTGTCCCTTATTAATGGTGTCTCTGTTAATGGGGTGTCCCCGGCAGTTTGGGGGTGTCCCCATGAGTGGTGTCCCCGTTAGTTTCGGGGTGTTGCCCATGAGTGGTGTCCCCGTTAATGGGGTGTCCCCGTCAGTCCTGGGGTGTCCCCCTTAATGGGGTGTCCCGTTAATGGTGTCCCGTTTCTGGGGTGTCCCCGTTGATGGAGTGTCCCCTATTAATGGTGTCCCGTTAATGGGGTGTCCCTGTGTTTGGGGTGTCCCTTATTAATGGTGTCCCCGTTAATGGGGTGTCCCGTTAATGGGGTGTCCCGTTAATGGGGTGCCCCCGTTAATGGGGTGCCCCGTTAATGGGGTGCCCCCGTTAATGGGGTGCCCCGTGTTTGGGGTGTCCCGTTAATGGGGTGTCCCCGTTAATGGGGTGCCCCCGTTAATGGGGCGTCCCGTGTTTGGGGTGTCCCGTTAATGGGGTGTCCCGTTAATGGGGTGCCCCGTTAATGGGGTGCCCCCGTTAATGGGGCGTCCCGTGTTTGGGGTGTCCCGTTAATGGGGTGTCCCGTTAATGGGGTGCCCCGTTAATGGGGTGCCCCCGTTAATGGGGCGTCCCGTGTTTGGGGTGTCCCGTTAATGGGGTGTCCCGTTAATGGGGTGCCCCGTTAATGGGGTGCCCCCGTTAATGGGGCGTCCCGTGTTTGGGGTGTCCCGTTAATGGGGTGTCCCGTTAATGGGGTGCCCCGTTAATGGGGTGCCCCCGTTAATGGGGCGTCCCGTGTTTGGGGTGTCCCGTTAATGGGGTGTCCCGTTAATGGGGTGCCCCGTTAATGGGGTGCCCCCGTTAATGGGGCGTCCCGTGTTTGGGGTGTCCCGTTAATGGGGTGTCCCGTTAATGGGATGTCCCGTTAATGGGGTGTCCTCGTTAATGGGGTGTCCCGTTATTGGGGTGTCCCTGCAGGGCCATGGGGCGCTCCTCCAAGGACAAGAGGGACATTTATTACCGGCTGGCCAAGGAGGGCGGCTGGAGAGCGCGCAGCGCCTTCAAACTGCTGCAGCTGGAGCAGCGCTTCCAGCTCCTGCAGGGTACCGGGACTGGGGGAACTGGGGGAATGGGAGAGTGGGGGGAATGGGGGGAATG